AATGCAGCCAGACCGAGAGACGGGGTGTCGCATGGAGGAGTCAGTCGTTCCGCCACACGGTCGGTCTGTACCATCTAGAGCGAAGTTTCGAAGTGGTGTACTACCGGTAGGACTTCATTCGATCGGCCCTCTTTTTCAACAAAAGACTTGCTTTGCGGACTTGCTAGACGATTCGTCTCCAACACGATCTCTGGCAACACTGCTTGGAAGAGATTCCCGCGACGTGACCAAAAACTATTGAAGTGAGCACACAGCTCTCGCAACATGGAACAGTCTGCACACCCGCTTCGGCTCGCGTGCGACCCTTTCCAGTCAGAAACGACCATGTACGGCACCGGTATGCGTCAGGGTATGTGTGATATTTATGTGGATGAAACGACCGCGCCAATGCAGGCGCCAATGCTACGCAGACAGATACTTCACATTCTTAGCGCTTGATTTTGTCGCAATCGACGTGGCTGGAGGCATAACCGACCGACCGGTATGCCAATTATTCGATCGTAAACGAAGCGCATGTCTTCACTCGTAACTCTATATAGCTCCGGACGACACGAGACGACATGTGATTTGGATCGGCCTTCATGCGAAGCTGGACATGTCGTCCTGGAATCATCCACGAGAACGGTGTCGCGCAAAGACAGCATAGCCACTCTGGGTAGTCATTCTTCAATTTACTTGTTGTCAAGCACAATGAACCCTCTCTCTGCTCTTCTCGTCCTTATGGCGGCCGCCGCCACGTCCGCCACGACCTACTGCGGCGACTCGGCCCTCAAGCTCACCTCGTACAACCCCGGCGACAAGGCCATCTTCCCCGTCTCGTCCGTGCTCGTGTCGGGCCAGAAGGACGCGATCCTCGTCAACGCGCAGTTTGGCAAGTCCCAGGCGCAGGCCGTCGTCGACCTCGTCAAGGCCAGCGGCAAGCACCTCACGACCATCTACGTGAGCCACGGCGACCCCGACTACTACTTTGGTCTTGACACGATCCACGCCGCGTTCCCGGATGCTGCCATCGTGGCGACGGCGCCCGTCGTCGAGCACATCAAGGAGACGGTCGCGGACAAGCTCAAGACGTGGAGCGGTGCGCTTGGTGCGGATGCGCCCAACGCGACCATCATCCCGGATGTCTTGAAGGCCAAGCAGCTCACGCTTGAAGGCCATTCGCTCGAGATCCGTGGCCCCGCGGCCCGCAGCTACGTCTGGATCCAAGACCTCAAGGCCGTCGTCGGCGGTGTCTTGCTCGAGAAGAACAACCACTTGTTCATGGCCGACTCGCAGACGCCCGAGTCGCACACCGAGTGGCTCAACGCGTTGGCCGAGATTCAGGCGCTCAAGGCGGACGTGATCGTGCCGGGCCACGGCCTTCCGGGCCCGGTCACCGACATGGAGTCGCCCGCGTTCACGGCCAAGTACATTCGCGACTTTGACATCGAGACGCCCAAGGCTGCCAACAGCACGTACCTCATTGCGGCCATGAAGGCCTTGTACCCCACCATCGGTGGCGTCGACAGCCTCGAGCTCAGCGCCAAGGTCGCCAAGGGCGAGATGACGTGGGTCTAATCGACGCAAGTCAACTAGAACGTTTTCTGGCTATTGTAAACTATTATCTTTTCGATTGAAACAATTGTACTTTTTCAAAAGTCGGTGGGGCATCCGAGTGGATGTAGGTAGTACCAACAAGCGACAATAGGGGCCGAGCTTGATTGTCGAGCCACTGCAACCATTGGCACTAGCATGGACATTCTTTTCCTGACTCATATCTGTCGTCTCAGTATCCGATTATAGAACAATGGTATGCAAAGATGTAGATGCAATGCACAATGTGTCTAGAACTTGAACGACACGTACTACGCTATTGTAACCCATGAATCTCGTCGTTGGCCATGCGCGGAAAGAGCACATCGACAAGCGTCGGAACGTGCGGCGTGCTCACGTGCACTTGGTGCTGCTGGTGCAGAAGCTCCGAGAGTGTCCGGTGGCCCAAGAACAAGCTGCAAGCAACCGTGCCGGGTAGCAAGACGCGGTCGGCATCGGGCTCGGCTCTCACCAAGTCGTTTTCAGACACCCCCCGGGGAATGTCATCGATCGCCGACACGCGCCCGCACTCGATGCGCAGCCGCGTGCCGCCACCCACCACTCGGTACGCCTTATGCAAGACGATCGTACGCGAGACGGCGTAGAACGCAGCGTCGGACGCCAGCCGGTGCTCAAGGACCGGGGCAATCGCCCGCAGAAACGCTGTCCACGACGGAATGCGCGTGTACCAGTGGTCCGACGGCGTCTGGATCGGGACGTACGACGACGGCACCGCGCGCAGTCCTGGGTGGCAACCCCCGAGCTCTAGCGTGAAGCTCCAGTTACTGGGAAGCTCTTGCGTCAATGGTGCGATCGCAGCTGCGTCGCCGCCCGTCGCCTGCGCTTCGAGCGTCTCGACGAGGTGCTGGAACGGAACGCAGTTGTCGAGGTAGTTGTGTGGGAGCCACCGAAGCAGCGATGGCGTCACGTCCGCCCACGAGAGCTTGCGTGGTACGCTGGACGCCTCGTCGAGCTCGAACCGTGTCACCGTCTTGTGGAGGTTTAGGCGCACAAACCCGATGGGATGCGACGCGTCGTCGTTGGTCTCGACGATGTAAAATGGTCGCGTGCCGTAGCTACCGGCCCAGAGTTCCGAGACGAGGAAGCGCCACTGCGCAGCGTCCGCGTCCGAGTAGATGCCTTCGCGCGCCAGAGACGCGGCCCGCGCGACGCGATCTAGAAATGGAACGTCGGCCGCTGTCGCCTTGCGGAAGCGCACAGGCTCGGCCTCGGCACGCAGCGGCGGAATCGTTGCGACGTGCCCGGTGTAGCTAACACCGCGCCGGGGGCAGAGCTCGTAGCCAAAGCGAGTGTAGTAGCTCGGGATCCCGCCGATGAACTGCAGCTCCGAGCTCAGCGCGGCGGCCCACGCGTGGTGCACCTTGAAATGCTCGGCAATGAGCCCGCGCCCACGGTACGCTTCCAGCGTCCCGATTGCTTCCGGGCGCACGACAGTGAGTGGTACGTGCAACGACGACGACGCGTCACGCTTGTTGGGGATACCGTAGCACCACACTTGCGGAATCGACTGGCACGACGAGACGATGAGGTCGTTCTTGGACGTGTCGACAATGACGGTAAAGGACTCGGGGCCGGCTTTCGGAGGCAAGAGGCCCGACCCGTCCTGGGCTTGGAACCGGTCTTTGGTCCAGCCGCCAAATTTGGTCATGTGGCCGTGGGCCGTGCCGTTGAAAGTGACGAGCGCGTCCTTGTCGGCGGGCGTCGCACGCCGAAGCACGAGGTTGTTCCCAAGCGAAATAGGCTCGGGGCACAAAAGAGGCCGGTCGGGGTTGGAGGACGCCAAGAACGCATGGAGATCGGCTGCGGTGCGGGGCTGCATGGCACTGGACGAGGTACAACTGAAAATGTGGATCCACTTTTAGTTTCAACGGGTCGCTAAAAACGTGCACGTGCAGAAACTGGACCCTGTATACTACTAATCATGGTGGATGATAGCATGCAGGGTTGGATTCGACCAGGCGCGAGACGGCCCTAATCCACGGATCGGAAAAGTGTTGACGTACCCTCTGATCCAGCTGTGTGGCTGCAAAGTGGCCAACCTGCATTCTGCTGGGAAGAGTGCTGGTCGATAATACTTCTGAAATCGTCGATGGACCACCCAAGCATGACGTGGCAGGCGGAGAGCGCATTCAGTGGTGCCAGCCGTATGGTGATGTGGCAAATCAAGTGTACCGAAACAAGCCGCAGGCTTGTAGATTGATACATTCCACGTTGATCCAGCTTAGACTCCAACCCTCATACGTCAACGTTTAGCTGGGGAGATCGATAATAGGGACAGACCAGGGGCAGGCCTGCTCGCTCTGGCACCCAACGGACCATAGAGCTCATGCGACAAGCATCATATATGAATAGGGTACCGGTATCTTGATTTAACGTAGAACCAACATCTAAAGAGAAAGAGGTGTTTCGTGTAATGGACGTGCAAGCGCGCGGTTCGTCTTGTCTGAAAAAACCACGCAATCGGTGCATTCGGTCGCCTCGTAAATCATCTACATTGTACTAGTATATCAAACACTTTCAAGCTTGAACCCCATCAATGACGTACCCAGTTGATCATGCAGCTGTGTTGTACACATTTCAACGACTAGGGGCGAGCTTACTCCATGCGCTGCGCGCTGATACATCCAGGCATCCGCTTATGCATTCGCTCTCTCGCTGTGGACGAGGCAGGACTAAGAACGTATTTTCAGAGATTTCACAGCCGATATTGGCTTCATGGGAGCAAAAGTAGTGACTGTAGTACGCGCAACACAAGGAAATATGCATTATTCCCTTGGCGCAACGGCATCAACAACATTTCCATGCTTTTACTACTTGGTAGTACCATGGCGGCAGAGGCCACGAGACGCAACATCAGCGACCGCATCGAGAGTACCGTACATGTAGAATGTCCTTGGGTACAAGTTTCAAAATGGACAAGATAAGAACTCGGATAAGAACTCGTAGCTACCGCTTCTCTTTTCGCAATACAATCAAAGTCCGTCACCCAAGGGCACCAATTTGGCTCGTATATCTCAGGACAATGAAAGAAGACTCGCAATCGTTTACACATGGGCTGTTTGCAAGAAGTGGAAGAGGTTGTCTGCACAAGGCCGAGCGATACCAAGATCTGATAGCTAGATGCACACACCTTGAAGATTCAAGATCCAGGCGCAGAGCAGGTGAGCTCAAGCCATTTCAAAATTGGTAGTGTCAGTCAACTAGCTAACCCGCCTCGCCCACCACTGGCATGGCAGACACCAACAAGGTTGTTGTTCCCAACGATCTTTCGGTCTTGATCGAGGATAGGTCGTGTTCACGTCACTGACATCTAGCGTCCATGGATCCGGTCGTCTTGGAAGTGCAGATGCCTTGGTTGAAAACCTGCGCCAAGCCATGAGCTGCGCTGCTTTCGGTTTTTCACACTGTACTGGCACTATGTGTTGTAGACACAATGATGATAGTAGCGAGCTCGCAGAGCTAGCGACGGCAATCATCGACGGTTCTTCGCTCGTCAACGGTGTGTAGAGGAGCGTTCTTGTGGTAGAATCTACTGCCAAGAGGCAGATTGGAGTTGCTGGGCGACTACATGCCCGTTTGCCAACTATTTATCGACATCCAACTGTCCTATTCAAAAAGGCCATGGGTTTGTAGAAGTATTCTTAGGCAGACAAAAGAGCTTCAAACTTCACTTTTCAAGATAGTAACCCTTGCCTCGCATCATTCAGAGCTGGTACGAACTATGTACCCTGCAACGAACGCCATTGCGCATTCACCAACGACGACACGACTCGAAGATCACTGGATCGCTCGGCGTTTGCGCTATACAAGGCAACCACATGGCGTGACATCTGCTCGGACCACAGACCTCGCTGTCCATCGCGCCTTGACACCAAGGCAACAAGTTCCAGCCAACTACGCTCTGCATAAAACCACTACTAGAAGTAAAGGTATGGTCGCTCGGTATATCTTTCGAAAGTCGAAGAAATACCAAGATGCGTTCCCATGGTCCTCGTCGGTCGAGAGCATCTTGGACCATCCACGCGTTCGAAATTTGCGACGATCCCAACCGTCGTATCGACGAATGACACGACGCACACAACACGCGTCCTTGCCAAAGCTCCTGGTTCTATAACCCCCGTGTTTATAAATATAGCTGGTCTATAAGCTAGCAACCGCATCGCGTTGGACGTCCACAACCATCCGCGGAACGACCACAAGAGTTTTGCGCCCTATGCTTCAACGTAGGACCTGTGCATACAAATCCTAGTATCGGTCCGGTAAAGTGCGCATTGCGCATTCCAAAGTACTCGGTTTGGCGAATTCGATGGATAACACGACGCCTATCCGGACGTGTCCGGATACAACAGCAAAGGATTGGCTCAAATTCTATGAATTCTTGATTGCTCATTCAGGGTTGCAGTACAGTGCAAAGTGGGAAGATCCACCGAGCGACGCTTCTGTTCAACCATTTCCGCTTTTGCCAGCATGTTTGCCTCTCGATCTCAAGCTGTCCACCGGTCCATGGCGCGCCACGCGTCCCGCACCTTCTCGTCCACCGAGACGGCGGCTTCCGAGCGCCTCATCATCTTTGACACAACGCTCCGCGACGGCGAGCAGTCGCCCGGCGCGACGCTCAACTTTCAAGAAAAGATGCACATCGCCAAGGGCCTCCACGCCATGGGCGTCGACGTCTGCGAGGCCGGCTTTCCAATCGCATCGCCCGGTGATTTTGACGCGGTCTCGGCGATCGCCCAAGAGATTGGCCCGCTCACGCGCGCGGCCAACGGCGACCTCATGACCATCTGTGGCCTCGCGCGCTCGACTGAGAAGGACATCCAGCGCTGCTACGACGCCGTGCGCCATGCACCCAAGCACCGCATCCATCTCTTCCTCGCGACCTCC